AAAGAGCTTAAAGGCGGGAAAAAGAGACAAACCTGCCACTCCTCAGCACTGATAGCAGAAAGGGGAATAGGATTCTCGATCCTTACCTCACGAGGACTGAATCCAAGCTCTACAAGAACTTGAGGCTTGATACGCTCTGAATATTTTTCTGAGTTGTAGTTTGCCAAATTCCTTAAAACTTGCTCATCTGCAACATTGAGTTCTTGTTTGATGCCTAAAAAATGAAACCAGCGGAACAAGGTCAGCCAAGAAGGACACTAAAGTTTATCCTAGCTTGCTCAGGAAAAGGCTCACCCAAGTTATCAGGGGCAAACCAATCCCAAGGAATTAGAAGAGTATCAGTCACATTGTTGGAATTGAACTCCCAGTCTCTCCCCCACACGAAAAAGAAAAGTTTTTTCCAACCTTTGTGAGAGCTCGGGAGGTCGAAGATAAGAACTTTGGTTTTCACGTGTATGGAGATATACAAAAAATCGTTAGAAAGAGTGTCCTTGACAATGAAAAATCTTATGAGCAAAGGAACAGTAGGGACCCAAAGATTGTGCTTTTTGAAGAAAACAAGGAGGCCCACCAACACATTCCAGAAATTAGGAGAGAGTTGAGCCAGACAGACATTAAAATGCTGCAACACACCCTTGATAAAGAGATGCATGGGAAAGCGGAGGCCACTCTCAAAAGCGGCCATGAAGAAACAACTTTTCTTGGGGATGGAAGAATCATATCGGGTGAACATGTCTGGACTATAGAATTGCACACCTTGAGGAAAGCCAGAATGAGCGGCTAGAACCTTCAAATAAGAAGGAACGAGGTCACTAGGACCTACGAGCTTAGCAGCCCTAGGAGCAGCACCTCCACCTTCGGCATTGCCATAGACCCCTATACCGCTCACCTTGGTTTTGCCTTTGTTAGGGGCTTTAGGAATAGGGGAGGATGATAAAGGAGGCTCCTCAGAATCTCCCCCGACTTCGGCAGAGTCCATGCCGGGAATATTATCAATTTTCTGCCCCACATCTCCCAGGTCAGAATTATCCTCAATAGACCTATCCCTTATTAGAGAGATGGATGAACCCGTGACTTCAGATTGGGTTAGAGAAAGAAAGCTTAAAAGACCTATAAAGCGGGGAAACCTCTGAGAAACACTCTTTGAGAGTCAGGGGGCAAGACACCAACGACCAATAACAAAAATTCTAACCGTAGAATAAGGATCCAAAAAAAAGGGGGATGCGAGACAGAGAAAGGTTTCGATTCCTAAAATAGCAGAATCAAAAGGTCCAAAAATGCAATAACCATCTTAAATTTGAGGGATCCAGAATGAGGAACTGGAAAATAGATGAAGGATGTACCTAAAAAAAGACCAACGATGGATTAAATCTCAAGAACAAAATTTGAAAATAAGCCTTGCTAAGCCTTCAGATCAAATTAGAGGAAATCGTCTCCTTGAGAAACCCTAAGAACGACGAAAAATCGAGAAAGATGAAATCGCAAGGGAATAAAGGAGAAAAGCCACAGAGAATTTGAAGAGTGAGGAGGAGACCGTTGGTCCAAGAGTATGTAAAGCTAATGGTGCAAAGGGATTCTTTGTGGGCAACATGCACGAGAAACAAGAAGAGAAATGATTATTGATAATCGTTAGAAGTTTGTTTGCACGAACACCGAGGTCACCCCATAAGGGTCTACTTTGCCTTAGTTTGAGTTCAGCCCTTACTCAAGCCTGTTTGACCAAGAGTTGGGGGGCAACTAACGATACCTAGAATAATTTCCAAGTATGAGCTCAGGCGAGGAGGTCAGACAAGGAGGTCAGGCAAGACACGTAGAACTCAGAGGATCAGAGTTAGAGCTCACCCCAGACAAGACAGTAGCGAAAATGACAAGGGAACAACTAGGAGTTAACATGAACCTTACAGGTGGCAAACAATCATATTCAAGGCACAAAATCCTCAACCAACCAAGATATTCTCCAAAAATCAAGGAAGAATCCACGGATGAAAGACTAAGATCTCGACACAGATCCCACAAACAAGGAACAACTCTATAAATACTGTATAACACCTCCAATAACAAGAGAGAATCCCTGATTGCCTGAGAGGCAGACTATAAATTTCATCCACATTTATTGAAACAAAAGGAGCAAGAATCTCCATTGAAGAGTAGATTAACTAAGTTCTCGAGCTGGTGAACCACTGTATTTTCACTGTGTAATTCCCCCCAATCCCTAAAATTCTTCGTTACGATGCTCACGAGCCTAGGAGCTCTAACCTAGGTTGCCAAGCATAAAATCGACCTTCTGCTCATCCACGTTAATTACACCATCAACACATAACATATTTTGATTGTGCATGAGAGATTTCCAACTAATAGGAACGTGATATGTGGCACCTCCTATGAAATCGTTTGAGAGAGGAAGAGAGAAAAAGCCTCCAAGGCTTCATCTTCTTCTTTTGGTTTTTTCCTCAAATCTTTCAAGATCCAACTTTTAGATCATCAAACACCAAGAAAAAGAGTTGTTCTACATAGCAAGAGCTACATGCCAACACCAACAATGACCCTGTTCCCTAAATTTCGGGTCTAGGGCTTTTGGCTAAGCTTAGAGAAGGCTTGTAGAGATTTTTTTGGGGTATTCTTATAGATTTCTCTTATTTACTCACGCGTTAAGAGGTGGGGGGTTCCTTTCTATTTATATTCTCTTTCAATCTAGGGTTTGCATATGAGATAGGGTTGAGTAAATGTACATTAATCACACGATTAGCCTATAACCAGTGTAGCTAGTGAGTTAATTGGAACATGTGAGAATGTTGCCTAATTTCTACTTGAGATGGGTTGTTGAACATGTTTTACATGTAGATTATGATGGGTATGCTAGGTTTTTGTAATTATGCACCCTATGAGTTTGATAAATTGCCTAAATACATTCAAACATATTATTTGAGTTAATCAATGTATATAATATGTGTTAGGTGATATGCTAGAATGCTCTTATATGCTTTAATGCTATAATTGACATTGTGTTTTCAATTGAAAAGCAATTGTACATACATTGCACATGTATGTGTTAAACATCACATTCACGAGACATTTGGCATGGTTGTGAGTGTTGTGCATGGATAAAACACTTAACATATAGGTGAATGATGGGTGGGGCTTGGAAAGATTGGACCAAGGTCCAACCAAGTCTCATGAAAATTTGAATGAAAATATGTCGGCACATAGCAAGAAGGGTTAGATTCTCCTTCGGGTGCTAGACTCGATTTATTCAGTCACACATCTTTTCCTAACCGAACACAATATAGGAGTATTGTTGGATCTCTTCAATATTTGACACTTACTAGACCACACATTTCTGATAATGTCAATTGTAAGTGCCAATTTATACATGCCCCAACAATGGGTCACTATTGGATTGTAAGACGTATACNCAGAAAAAAAAAAAATACACTTCTCTTGTCCACAGCCTCTTTGAAAAACCCTAATCCCACCAATTTCAAGCTTTCAAATTTCTCCCCAAAGAATGAGCAAACACAGGCTACAATCTGCTCTCTCCCGATCAATACTGCGCTCTTTCAGGCCCAATACTTACTTCCCTCAAACCCCACCTCCAGATTCTCTCACATCCTCATTTACCCGCCAAGAAGTCTCTCTCTTTTCCAGACTCAGCAGCACCTCATCGCCCGACAATCTTGACGGATTGATCAACCCGGAGCTGGATTTTCCGGGAAACGNCGCAGAGGCTAAATACCAAGCTTCTTCTTCAACCATGATTGAGTTAACAAGGCTTTCATTTATACTAAATGACATAGGAGTTCCGTTGTGCAAGCCTCCTATTCTTTTTTATGACAATTTAAGCATAACCTACATGTATGACAATTTAGTCTTTCATGGTCGTAATAAACATATGGAGATACATTTCCATTATGTCAGTGAGAAGGTTGTGTCAATATCCTTAGTAGTTTAGTTTGTTCCTTTGGTTTATCAGCTAGCTACAATTTTGCTAAGGCACACCTTCCATGGTATGCTAATTTGGGATGAATGAGATCATAACCCACCCCTTTTTTTTTTTCTCATTCACAAATTTTTTATATAAATTAAGTCTATTTCAATGTATAGTCAATGAAATAGAATATTAACATATTGAATATCTAGGACAATAAAATTGAAACAATATTTTCACCAACTTCACTTAATTGGATATTTCACTGTTCAATTTGGAATTTTTTTTAGTTCATTCTATCATTTGACATTAAAATTTGATAGTTCATTGTCAATTTGAAAAGTGAGATGATATTCTATTGTTCAAATTTATATTTCTTTCTCTCTCTCTCATTTATGTGGCATGTTTAGTTTATGTATTAAGAGATTGAATTAGATTAATTTAATCTGGTGATGACGTAATACTAAGTTTAGATTGGATTATAGAAATCCGATATTAATTTATCATAATCCCGACCACGGTTTACTATTTTCATTTAACACATAAACATTATATAATAATGAATACCATGTGCTATGTGGTATTATTTTTAACAAGTATGAAAACACACATTGATTTTATTATCCTTGCAAACCTAGACTCACATATTCATATAAAAGTTATACATTATACAAATTCTTGTTCTTGATATTCGTTTTATCATTTTCGGTTTAATACCTTACACTATTACTTAATCTAAACATAAATTGTATATTATAATTATAGATTTATATCTTATTCCAATTTTAATCTAATCTTGTTGCATAATGATACGATCAAATAATACTCTTACCATTTTGTATGGATTGAATGAGAAATAATTACCTAATTTTATCATTTACTTATACCCGAGCCAAACATGCCTAATATATTGTGTATTTAGGAGGGCAGCTTGGATCTCGGAGTCCAAAACATGAATAATCATGCACTTCTCTTGTCTTTGACAGAAAAAAAAAAAATACACTTCTCTTGTCCACAGCCTCTTTGAAAAACCCTAATCCCACCCATTTCAAGCTTTCAAATTTCTCCCCAAAGAATGAGCAAACACAGGCTACAATCTGCTCTCTCCCGATCAATACTGCGCTCTTTCAGGCCCAATACTTACTTCCCTCAAACCCCACCTCCAGATTCTCTCACATCCTCATTTACCCGCCAAGAAGTCTCTCTCTTTTCCAGACTCAGCAGCACCTCATCGCCCGACAATCTTGACGGATTGATCAACCCGGAGCTCGATTTTCCGGGAAACGAGTCGAATTTACTGGACAATTCGCGGGTCGAGTCCTTTTCAGCCGAAGAATTTGCCATTTTGAGAGACTCGTTGTCGAACTCTGGTGTTGATTGTGGCTCTTCTGAGAGAAGTTTTGAATTGGGTAAGAGCTCAAATGATGCATTTTTGATATTCGATATCATAAGGAGCAACCGTGATGGCTTTGGGGACAAAACCAATAAAATTCTTAGGCAATTTAGAGACAAATTGAATGAAAATTTGGTGATTGACGTGTTAAAACTTGTACAGAACGCTGAACTAGGCGTAAAGTTTTTCATATGGGCAGGTCGGCAAATTGGGTACAGTCACACTCTACCGGTTTATAATGCTTTGTTAGATTTATTGGGTTGTGATAAAAATGGGAAAATGTTGGAATATATTTTGAGAGAAATTAAGGATGACGATAAAGAGGTACTTGGGAAATTGCTTAATCTGTTGATAAGGAAGTATTGCCATTGTGGGTTGTGGAATGTTGCATTGGAGGAGCTGGGTAGGCTCAAAGATTTTGGATATAAACCCTCGAAAGTAACTTATAATGCTCTGGTTCAGGTTTTTTTAGAGGCAGACAAGTTAGATACAGCTTACTTGGTTCATAAGGAGATGTCAGATTTGGGTTTTAAAATGGATGGGTATACTCTGGGTTGTTTTACACATTCTCTCTGCAAAGTGGGGCGGTGGAGGGACGCTCTTGATTTGATTGAGACGGAAGAGTTTGTGCCTAATACGGTAATTTACACGAAAATGATATCCGGATTATGTGAAGCTTCGCTTTTTGAAGAAGCTATGGATTTCTTGGATAGAATGCATTCTGTTTCTTGCATTCCAAATGTTGTAACATATAGGATTTTGCTTTGTGGGTGTTTGAATAAAAGAAAGCTGGGTAGGTGTAAACGAATTCTTAGTATGATGATCACAAAAGGTTGTTATCCTAGTCCTAATGTATTTAATTCTCTTGTTCATGCTTATTGCAGATCAGGAGACTACACTTACGCTTATAACTTGCTAAAGAAAATGGTAGATTGTGGATGTCGGCCTGGATATGTGGTTTATAACATATTAATTGGTGGTATTTGTGGAAATAAGGAGTTACCGAGTCTGGATGTGTTGGAATTGGTTGAAAAGGCTTACAGTGAAATGCTTGAAGCTGGTGTTGTATTGAACAAAATCAATGTCAGTAATTTTGCACGGTGCCTTTGTGGGGCTGGAAGATTTGAGAAAGCCTATAATGTTATTCGTGAGATGATGAGCAAGGGATTTTTACCAGATATTAGTACATACACCAAAGTAATTGGTTTTTTGTGTAATGCCTCCAAAGTAGACAAAGCTTTCTTATTGTTTCAAGAAATGAAAAGGAATGGTATTATTCCAGATGTTTATACATACACAATTCTAATTGATACATTTTGTAAAGTTGGCCTTATTCAACAAGCTCGCAGCTGGTTTGATGAAATGGCAAGGGATGGTTGTGCCCCTAATGTAGTGACTTATACTTGTCTCATTCACGCATACCTTAAAGCTAGGAAGATCTCCAATGCAAACGAACTCTTTGAGAGTATGCTATCGGAAGGTTGCATTCCAAATGTTGTCACATTTACTGCTTTGATTGATGGTCACTGTAAAGCGGGAGAGCTTGAAAAAGCTTGCCAAATTTATGCCAGAATGAGGGGCAATGACAAAGTCCCTGATGTAGATATGTACTTTAGGGTTAGTAGCAGCAATATCAAAGAGCCAAATGTGGTTACATATGGGGCTCTGGTGGATGGTTTTTGCAAAGCGCACAGGGTGGAAGAGGCCCGCAACCTATTGGATGCAATGTCGACTGAAGGTTGTGAGCCAAATCATATTGTATATGACGCTCTCATTGATGGATTTTGCAAGGTTGGGAAGCTTGATGAAGCACAAGAGGTATATGCTAAGATGTCTGAATGTGGACACAGTCCAAATATATACACTTACGGCTCTTTGATTGACAAGTTGTTAAAGGATAAACGGCTGGATCTTGCTCTGAAGGTCTTGTCTAAAATGCTAGAAATTTCTTGCCCTCCTAATGTTATAATCTACACAGAGATGATTGATGGCCTTTGTAAAGTTGGAAAGACTGATGAAGCCTTCAAGCTTATGCTGATGATGGAAGAGAAGGGTTGTCATCCAAATGTTGTGACTTACACTGCCATGATAGATGGCTTTGGGAAAGCGGGCAAAGTGGACAAATGCCTTGAACTCTTGAGACAGATGGGTGCCAAGGGTTGTGCTCCAAATTATGTGACCTATAGGGTTGTAATAAATCATTGTTGTGCTGCTGGCCTATTGGATGAGGCTCAACAACTCCTGGAGGAGATGAAACAGACATATTGGCCGAAACATATGGCAAGCTATCGTAAGGTTATTGAAGGCTTCAACCGAGAGTTCCTTATCAATGTTGGCCTGTTAGATGCAATAGTTGAGAATGACTCTATACCAATTGTTCCTGTTTACAAACTTCTAATTGATAGTTTTTGCAAGGATGGGAGACTGGAAGTAGCTCTGAAGCTGTATGAAGAGATTTCATCATACTTATTGTTTTCATCTGCTGACAAGAATATATACTCTTCGTTGATTGAGAGCCTCTCCATTTCATGTAAGATTGATAAGGCTTTTGAGTTATATGTGGACGTGATAAGGAATGGCGGTGTTCCTGACCTGAGTGTCTTTTTAAACCTCATTAAAGGGCTTATTAAGGTGGACAAGTGGGAGGAAGCACTTGAACTTATGTATAGCCTATGTCAGATGGTACGTGACTTTTAACTATTGTTTTATCTTGCTTCAAACTAAAGGGCAATTAATCTGATGCATATGTTTATTATTAGAAAATTACTGCATATTTTCATAAAAGTTGCACTTTCGTAAGTTGATCGTATCTTCTTTTCTGCCACAAGCCTGAGCTTTGACTACGCTGTTTGTGCAGTCGGAGTGCAATGAAATGCATTGGAATTTATCACGTTTGGTTACAGATTTTAGATGAAGGAATTGCATAAGTAAATTTCCATTGTTCTGTATAAAGAGGGGAGGAAGTAGGAGTTGCAAAGGAAGAGAGTTGTGCAATTTGCCTATGGAACCTTGAAATGCTATGATAACATTTACAACCCAAAACTATCTTAAACAAAATCTAAGACACTTCTGTGCAGTACTCTAATTGAGTTTGATAATTCCACCAACTTTGAGGATTTCTACATGACTCTAGGCTATGGGAATAGACCAACCAATCCATTCCAAATGCAAATCGCATAAAATGATGTGTCAAACAATAACTGCATGTAGACTTAGAAACAGAACCATTTCTATGCGTGTTTTTTGCTCTTTTCATAGTAAAATCTGTAATTTTGGTAATGTATCAGAAGCAATCCTTTGACAGTTGATTGTAGTGAAAAAATTTCGCTGCACAACATTCTTTGTTCTGCTTGATTTATCATCTAGTGCTAGTGGCAAATGGGTGAGTTGAGCATGGTGGGAAAGGGTTTTTGCAAAATTGATACAAAACCGAATCCATTCTTGGCAGGTCAACATGGGTTGGTTTACCCACTAACCCTCATGCCTATATGAGCTTCTGGGTAGTAAATGTGATAANTCAACATGGGTTGGTTTACCCACTAACCCTCATGTCTATATGAGCTTCTGGGTAGTAAATGTGATAAACATTTGCATGAAAATAGATGTGGGTGGGGTCCTCTACTACAAACGTAGCATGTTACATAAATTTTCTTTCTTTTTCATTTTACTGGTTTTTATATTGTGAATTTTTCACTTGGCAGGATATCTACTGGCTATCCGATGGAAATATATCTGAAGGAAAATAGATTATCTATTTATAGTTACTGATATTACTCCAGGTGACATGCACCTTCCAACAAGGATGAGTATGTGAATGCTCTAGCATATGCATATACAAGCTACATTTGTAATGAATACCGCTTGCGTGGGGATGAATATTTAATTTTTGTTGGCTTTGTGCATGCCAAACGACAATGAAGTAAGGAATAGCGTCATTCTTGGCTTGAAGAATAGAAGTTGTGGTCTTTCTTTGTCAAGATCAGTACAATTCGTATGTTCTCAATTTTCTTCTGATATTACTATTTCAATTGGTGGCATAGCATGTTTTTTATTAAGTGTGATGCAGGTTGGTTCATGATGCTAGAACCAGATCTACCTCTACAATTTCATAATTGATCATAATAAGGTATGTAGCTTTAATTTTTNTGGTGGCATAGCATGTTTTTTATTAAGTGTGATGCAGGTTGGTTCATGATGCTAGAACCGGATCTACCTCTACAATTTCATAATTGATCATAATAAGGTATGTAGCTTTAATTTTTTTGTTTTGTGCGGCAAGAATAGTCTTTTCAGTGACTTCTTTTTATCTCAATTTGCATTTTGTCTGGTTATAGCATTATTTATTTCACTCAACCCCTCTTTAGTTCCCTCAATCCTTCAGAAGCCTATCTTTAGTAATTCATTAGTCACTGCACTTGCTGTTGAGATTTCTAAACATTTTGAATCCACTTCAAAAGTAGTGCTCTAGACATGGCGTGTTCCTTTTTTTTTTAACAGGGGTGGCTGGTGCTAATGATAGAATTCTTTGTATTTTCACCCATTCGTATCTATTCTAGATGCCTTTGGAAAAACAAATGTTGTAAATCTCTGATCTTTATCTCCAGACATTACTATTAGTATACATACAATATTAGTTTAATAGATAATTTCTTAAAATTTCATGGGGAAATATGTTTAATAGTCATTTACTTGACCTCTATCACCTGACAAACACTGACAGGGCGTGTCAGTCAAGTTTTAAATAATAAAAAGGATTTTTTTATGAAGATAAGGCAACATTAGGGATGCATGGATGAAACTTTCCAATGTTGAATTTCAAATTCTGCATAATACAGTAGCTAAGGAAACAGATACCTTCACTTTGATTTGGTCTAATAGAAGTGAGGTTTTTTATTTTTGAGACAACATCTTGTGCATGTCTTTTGTTTAGTTTTTTGAGAAGCCAAATGGCATTTCCTTGATGTTTGTGTGGTTGTATATATAGCGCCTTATATATTTACGTTTTTCAATTACCAGTCGCTGTTCTTATCTTATTAGCCTCATCTTTGATTCTTCTGTGTCGTCTAATTTTTATACTTTCTACTTTTTTTTCTATGATACATTTCTGTTGACGGGGTTTCAGGACCTTCACACTGCCATNTATTTTTTTTTCTATGATACATTTCTGTTGACGGGGTTTCAGGACCTTCACACTGCCATTATTGTCATGCTGAAGGGATTGGTTGCTCAACATTTTGTGGAGTCACTAGCAGGTGGATCGGAACTTCTTTTGACTACCAAAGAATTACTGATCATTCAGGCATAAGGTGATAATATGAGAATCTAACTGAAAGTGAAAACACTGCCTATTTTGTATACTTGAATAATGGTAATTTGTGTTAATTTCTTTGTGTTTTGTGTTGCACCAACACTCCATCCAGTTGCAATTAAATAGTATTATACTACGCATAGAATTTGGATTTCATAATTATAACATAAATCTTTTGTATTCAATGAGCTATCAACTTAACATGTAATGAATATTCATGATTCTAAGTTTTNAATTGAATAATGGTAATTTGTGTTAATTTCTTTGTGTTTTGTGTTGCACCAACACTCCATCCGGTTGCAATTAAATAGTATTATACTACGCATAGAATTTGGATTTCATAATTATAACATAAATCTTCTGTATTCAATGAGCTATCAACTTAACATGTAATGAATATTCATGATTCTAAGTTTTCTCACCATTCTTTGGAAGGTATGACTGCGTGAGACTGTTACTTTACCAACAAAATTAGGTTTATTACAAGTCTTTTCTAAGACGTCTTTTAGAGGCCACTAGTCATGTTGGTTAGTCATGTTGGTTGACGATATATATGAATGATTGGAGGAGTACATTGGGTACAAGCTTAACAACATGCATTATTTGCAGAAAGCGATCCACAATCTCAAAGTTTACCTGTGGCATTTTTTGCTTCATGAGATTTTTTAAATCTTTTTTTGGTCGTGCTTCCTAATAGTAAGGTGGTAATGCTGAGGAAGCCCCAACTTGTTGCTTTCTTTTACCCAGCGTGGCTTAGATGCTCTTTAAAACCTTTCAGTTTTAGTGCTATTTGTAGACTAACACTACAGAATGAAAATGAGTGTGTATATCTCTATATCCAGTTTCAGATGTGGGAATCCATTTTTTGGAGCTATGCGATCCCATTGGTTGCAATTGGGGGATGAAATGAGCCTTTCTAAAGTGTTCGTCGCTGCAGATTACTCAGATTCAGTTCCTGATTCATCTAATTATTTAGGCCATAATGGGTATCATCCTCTCGAGGAATTAAAAGATCGCAAAAGAGTTCGTGACATTAATCTCACCTCTGCTGAAATAGCACGGACTGCAGTTGAGGTTTTTTTCTCCCCTAAAAATTTGTATTTATGGAACTAGAGAATATATTTTTCTTGGCAATGGAATGGTGAAGTTCTATTTCAGAACTAAAGCAAAATCCTCGAATTGTCTGAATATTGGTTTTCTTAGTGAGAGGATATAAGTTCTTTTTTCTTTCTTCAAAATACATGGTCTGATCTTTGTTGTTTCAGGCAAACAGCAGTGCTTTGTTGATATTTCCAAGTATGGCGCACTGTGAGCCACACAGACAAGTCTCATGGGCTGAGTNGTGCACTGTGAGCCACACAGACAAGTCTCATGGGCTGAGTTTCAGTATGTTATTGATGAGTGGGGAGGTTTGGCTGTTTATATCTGTTATTAGGATGATACTTGTTAGTCTATAACATGAAAAGATTACATTTAANGCAAACAGCAGTGCTTTGTTGATATTTCCAAGTATGGCGCACTGTGAGCCACACAGACAAGTCTCATGGGCTGAGTTTCAGTATGTTATTGATGAGTGGGGAGTTTGGCTGTTTCTATCTGTTATTAGGATGATACTTGTTAGTCTATAACATGAAAAGATTACATTTAACATCCTGATTGTACTACTTTTTTCCTCAGATATATTTTTTGAAATTTCTGATGATGAAAACATCTTGTAAGATCATGGTGCAAGTAACCCTGTGGTGAGGACTTTCATTATCTTTTGTTACATTTCCCCTTTTGGATGACTGTAGTTCAGGCACTTTGTGTGCTGGAAATCATTGCGGATACCTTGCTAAAAATTAGGAGTCAAAAAGTTAATAAAAGATCTTTAAAATTTCAACGTTTCTTACACATTCCTGAATATAAAAGTTAATTTTACTTCACACGGAACGCCATTTAGTTTCCACATAACATAATCATTAGAAAATTTCGTGCGCGAAGTAATATTTTTGGAATTTATTAAAGACATCTTTCATTTCTACTGTCAATCACTATTTATTAAAAGGGACAGGGATTACGTCTCTTGGTCTCCAGCAATTATAAATTCCTGTATTCCCTTGCAAAACATAACATGGCAGACAATTACAAACAGTTCTATATTTTTTGCATCTTCCTTCTCACATATCTGCATTCTCTCTGTCTCTCTTTGGCTCTGTATCTCTCTCAATGTGCACACGCTGGAACCCAATTAAAAGGACAATTACATTGTAAATATTAAATCCTTTAATGTAGAAACAAGAGTAAGTCTTGAGCCTTGTAATTAAACTTAAATCCAATCCCAAGTCCAACGCTGGAGAACAGTCGGACAATTTAGTTTTAGGACATTAGAATTGTGCCTTGGCAAGTTGGCATCCATGCAGTAGTTTTGTCTGATTGCATAGACATAGAGAATATTTCAATTTTTTGTAATTTTATTTGCACAAAGCTATAGCAAAGCTGTGTTAATTATATTCTTGCATTTCTTCAGAATGCTTTATTTGGGATGGATATCCCACTATATGAGAACAAATGGGTATATGATGCTGAATATGACATTTCCGAGAGTGGTTTTAGGGATGAAATTTCTTTTCGTGATGATTACTTTGAGGTAAGAAATCATTGCTCTTGATTACTGTTCTGCAATTGGAGATCGCCTCTTAGGTTATTTTCCTTTCTCGCTTACATTCTATGTTCTTTTGTTCCAAGCAGTCGGAGGGTTCTGAAATTTTCGATATCCCAATTGACTGGGGAAGGCCAGATGCTTCCAGATTGGTTCATCCAGTTTATTTTGGTAAATGTTTGGCAAAGGTGATTACTGCTTGGCCTGGTAGCTGATGTACTAGGTAACTGACTTTGTTGAAGCTGTTTCTGATCACGAAGATGAGCCATAGTTAGCTTTTTTGTAAATGTTAAAATATACTTGTAGCAGATTGATGATTGTCATATTCATAAGCTCTTATTAATTTTTAGAATGCTGGGGTGATCATTAATGTCTAATTAGAGGGCTTTTACTAATACCATGGTATGTAAGCCGCCTTATTATAGAAGCCACTCCTGCCAGAGAAGGTGATGGAGGATATCCCTGATTTTTTTTTTTGAAAGAAACGATCATAAAAATTCCATTAAACTGATATGTCAGAAAAGAGGAAAGGCATTAAGAAATCTGGGGGATGCTCTCTCCATGCAGATAAATAATCAATAGAACAAGCATGCCTAGCTAGATGATGTGCGACCTTATTCCCTGCTCGTCTGACAACATCTATTTCTAGGATAGCAAATTTATTAGCCTCATTATAGATGTTCCAGTGGATTTTAGTCATCCTCTCTGTCAGTTGCTTTGACTACAACAGCCGAGTCCCTTTTGATGGCAACCTCCTGAAACCCATGTTGAAGCACTAGAAAGACAGCTTCTCTAGTGGCCATCNCAAGTCCCTTTCGATGACAACCTCCTGAAACCCATGTTGAAGCACTAGAAAGACAGCTTCTCTAGTGGCCATCGTCTCTGCTAGAAGGACATCACCTTTGATCTGAAACTTTTTGGAGAGTCCTGCTAGAAATTGTCAGCTTTTATCTCTGATAACCACACCGATGCCAATGGTCTCCTCTTGTTCGAAGGTTGCACCATCAAAGTTAACTTTGACGAAACCTGGCTTTGGAGGATTCCACTGCACCTCTCTTTGCGCAGCCTAACTACGATCTGCATTCCCAATCATCTCCAAATATTGGTCATGGTATCTCTTAGCATTGGAGGCTATTTCCTCCGGTTCCTTCTTCGCATTTTGAAATAGCACCTCGTTACGGCGCCGCCAAATCATCCAACAGTGGGTTAGGAATAAGGCAAAATCGTCAGCTTTGAGCCTAACATAAGCCTCACGCATCCAACCTTTCGGACTCTCAACTGGGACCTGTTCAACCTACCTGAGTGGACCTCGCTTACAGGAGGATCTCCTTGATTTAGATGTCTTTTTGTATTGATTGTTGCATGACTGGAACTTGGGTGCTCTTGTGAAATTGTTGGAAGGCATTGCTAAATGAGTTATTTGGGCTTATTGGGCTTGTCTATTGGGTGTTTTGGAACTGAATTCCTAGGTATTCTACCGAAAGCTTGATAGTATATATTACGAGAACGCAAAGGAATGGGATGATGAATAAATAATGATTATGGATCTTTTTAGGGGTACTATATATTTCGGGATTTATTGGGTTTGTTTGTTAATTTAAGATTTTAATATTATGATTATTATTTTGGAAAGTGCTTATTATGGTTTTTATTATAGCCTTTAAATAGACTCTATATGTAATGGGTTTCAAGTCTTGGTTATTGATATTGCTAGGAGAATAAATATTAATTGTTTTTTTGCTCTACAAATTCTCTCTTTGCTGAAGATGATAAGATTGGCAGAAGCTATAGGATGTTTAGTTTTTGAGTGGCTTTTAAAGTACTTAGGGTTACCTTTAGGGGGTAATCGAAATTCTTTTCTTGTGGGAAGGAAGTGGTGAGGGGAGAAATGATCATTTGATTAGTTGGGATGTGATGTCTAGATCTAGGNCGAAATTCTTTTCTTGTGGGAAGGAAGTGGTGAGGGGAGAAATGATCATTTGATTAGTTGGGATGTGATGTCTAGATCTAGGGATAAAGGTGGTCTTTCGATTGGTTATTTGAATGTTAGAAATATTGCTTTAGTGGGCAAGCGGCTTTGGAGGTTTCCCTTAGAACAAAGTTATCTTTGGTATTTAGTTATTAAGAACAAATATGATTTACAAGCCAATAGATGGGACACTAATAGGGTTGAGAGGGTAAGTTTTATGCCTGTGGAAATTCATATCTCTGGTTATAACGAGGTTTTCCCATAATCCTAGTTTTGTGGTGGGTAATAGAGAAATGATCCGTTTTTGAGAAGATCCTTGGGTGGGGGAGTTATCTTTGTCATTTTTGTTTCCACGGCTTTATCACTTATCTAGTTTTCACGGTGTATCTATTTCTTCCATGATTAGCTCTTTTCATTGTCCTTATTCTTGGAACTTTGGTTTTCGTAGAAATCTTGATGATAGAGATACTTTAGAGTTGATATCTCTTCTTGTTACTATTGATGACATTTTGTTATCTCAAAAGTTATGGGACAGAAGGAGATGGGTACTTGAGTCATCCAGTGCTTTTTCCACTAAATCCTTCTATGATTCTTTAATTGTCCATTCATCAACTCCTCCATTTATTCCAACTGTAATGATTTGAAAAGCAAAAGTGCCTATTAAAGTGAAAGTTTTTGCATGGACTATTGCACATGGGAAGATTAATACTAACAATATACTTTAGAGTAGGAGACCTATAAATTGTCTTTCTCCTTAGTGGTGTGTGATGTGTAAAAGTGATTATGAAATTATTGATCATTTGTTTTTACATTGCGTTATTACTTTGACTTTGTGACATAAGCTGTTTGACTTAGTGGACTTGAGTTGGGTACTTCCTAAATCATCCATATCTTTGTTTGTTGAGGATTTGAAAGGCTTAGGATTTATTGATAAGGATATCACTCTATGGAATTGTACTATAATTGTAACTTTTTGGGTTATATGGATGGAGAGTAACACACTTATTTTTGAAGACAGAGGAGACTGTTTGGATGGGCTTATGAGACCAGATTCATTTCTTAGCGTCTTTTTGGGCCTTAGTTACAAAGTAGTTTAGAGGGATTCCATTTTTTGCTATACTTTCAGGATGACTAGCTTTATGTGATTTACAAATTATTTATATATTTCCTTTATTTGTAATTTTTGTTTTTTCTTTTTCATTTTCATTTTCATTGCTTTTGTAGTTGGATTCCTTATCCAATATTTTTGATATTTTTCTGTTTTTTAATACAAGAAGTTTTTTTTCAATCAAAAAAAAAAAAAAAGAAAATTTGGGAATCGATGGTTAAGGTCAGAAAATTATCGTTTCAAGCCCAAAAAATTGTCATCCAGCATAACAGAGAGAGAAATGGAACGATAGGGAGACAGAGAGCACACCTAGAAATCGAAAGGAGAAGCGTTTAGCAACTCTTTAAGTCCAGAGCCACCCTCCACTCCCACATTCCAGATTCAACCTCCTCTAGGTATGAGTTTGTTCCTTTCTCTTATTTTTCTTCTCTCTTTCTTTCTTTTTCTTTGTTGGGTCTTCATAAAGATTCTTGTGATAGGCCCTGTTCTTGGTTAGAAATCTAGTGAAATTTTCTTTCCTATTCTTTTTCAGGACCTCGCTACTAAGAAAGATGTCACCTCTTAAAATATCCTATATAGGAGTTTGTTTCTCGATTTGATCTATAGACTGGGATGGGTATTATCCTCTTTCTCTCAGATTTGTAGATCTTGGATAGGGATGGGGCTGGCGAGGCTTGCGGGTCTCCTTTCTCTCTATTTCATAAGTTTGCGTCTCAAACTCTCATCGTTTGTTCTCTCTCTTTCTCTGCATTTTGCTAAGACGTAAGAATGTCTGTTTAGTCCCTCTTTTTTTTGGTTTTATATTGGTATTTTATTTTTGTTATGTCTTTTATATTTGTTAATTAAGTTAATGCCCTCCCCCCTCCCCCTTTTTTTTTTACTTTTATTCTTTAATTCTTTTATATTATTATTATTTACTAAACTGGTATATTAACAATATACCGTGTTTGTTAAATAGTTGCAATTAATTTTATGGTATATATCTTATTTGTTAAATATATGAAAATATTTGTGTGTAAAAAATGTTTGAAACTAGTTGAAATGATTTTCGTCTTGTGTCAGGACTTTTTTTTTTTGCCCTCCAACTTGATGTTATTTTGTATAAATGAATGTTAACCCAATAAACATGCTCAATTAATTAATTATTAAGTTTATCTTTATAAATAAATGAATTGCATTTATGTTTTCATATTTTAAATTTTATAAGTAAAATTTATGTTCTATTATGACATTTATTAAATTAAAATTAAAATTTTTTCTTAAAAAATTATAATTAATATACAATTATACAATTATATTGTAATAGTATACAATTATACTGACTTAGACCCCTTGGTTTGCGTGTTTGCCTTGCTCTCTCTCCCTTTTCTCTTTTCTTTTCCCTTATTTGTCTGCGTGTGTTGCCTCTGTCAATTGGCTATTTGTAGTTGAAATTAGCCAGCTCTCACGTCACTCACATGCAAGTGTCTTACATGTTTAAGCTTACGTCATGAATAGTTATCCGTGCATTTGGCCTTTTCTTTATTATTTTTTTAAGAATAATCTTATTTGAATTTAAAAATTTAATCTAATTTATTGATATAATGATGTAGTTTCATGAAATCATTGGATCAACACTAAGTTTTAATATTTGATAGAGCCCACAGTCAATCTAAAGGGTATAATAAATTAAATCAATAAATTAAGTCTTGATAATATTGCTTTTTTTTAAATGCGGACTATTGTATAATTCAAATTGATGATAGCCTACCCATTTATCATAAAAAATTGTAACAAAGTTTTCATGACAAGGAAAAATATGAATAAAGTCTAAGGTCAATAATCACCATGTAGCCAATGAAAGAGATTGCAAGGAAGTTTATGGGAATTCTTGTTGAGTGCTATAAATCGATTAACTTTGCTGGAAACCCAAACCACGAAAGCTTGAGGTCTCTGAACTGTTAGACTAAAACAATACACTAGATTCAGTTTCAAATGCAGAAGATCTCATCTCTACTTCATATCCAGCCCCCAACTTATGGAAAGCTAATCACCATTCTCAGCATTGATGGAGGTGGTATCAGAGGCATCATTCCTGGCACTATCCTTGCTTACATTTGATCCCAACTTCAGGTCAGTTTTATTTTCTGCTAATATAATTTTTTGTGTGTGTGTGAGAGTGAGAGAGAGAGAGAAAGAGAGAGGTCTTCATTCATTATTTATGAAAGTGATGTTAAATACCACATATATCATATGCAGTGACCCAATCCTTTTGGTGAGGTGTGCTTGGGGTTCATTATGAGTCGAGTTTTGAAAGTTTAATACGTCTTAAATTTGTGCAGATCCATGCAGTTTCCTCATGTTTAGAATATGTAGTGTAGAAAGAATATCTAACTACAAATAATACAATTTTGGATTAGGAGTTTGATGGTGAGGATACCCGACTTGCAGATAACTTTGATGTGATTGCAGGAACGAGCACTGGCGGTCTTGTGACTGCCATGTTAACAGCTCCAGATGAAAACAACCGTCCTTTATTGGCGGCAAAAGATATCAAGCCTTTCTATCTCCAACACTGCCCTAAGATTTTCCCACAGAAAAGGTAATCATAACATGTTTTTCTTGCTTTCAGTTTTTCAACAAGGTAGAATTCCAGTGCATGAAAGCTTGGAATTAATTGGGATTTTGCTTGCAATCTTGCTTTTTTTAATTTGTATCTACTCATGAAATATTATTGTTGCAATGGCAGGGGCATGTTTGCATCACTTAGAAACAAATTGAATTTATTAGCAGGACCCAAGTATGATGGGAATTATCTCCATGAAGTTTTGAGGGAGAAACTAGGAAATATTCGTTTGATGTCAAGAAGTTGCAGCCCACTGTATTCTCCGCTTATGAGGTTCTCTCTCTCTCTCTCACTCTCTCTGTTTATCATATCCTAATATTTTATGTCAGTGCAGGCAGAAGAATCCCTCTAGCTAGATGCTCGATTATCTGATATATGCATTAGTACGGCTGCAGCTCCAACTTACCTTCCTGCTTACCATTTTAGTAGCCAAGATAAAGAAGGGAATACTTGGGAATACAATCTTATTGATGGTGGTGTTGCAGCAAATAATCCGGTATGGTTTTTATATACACATAAATTTTTCATAATGTGTTTCTCACTTTTTTATAGCCTTGAATTTGTAATCTCACACTGTATATTTCTTTGGTAAATAAGAATGTTATTTAACGAAGAGAAAAAAAAAACATGGATAGATAATATTGTTCAAGACTTATCCGAAGATCTTCCATCATATACTCACAAGAGAGATGATCATTGTGACAAAATTATCTAGTTTAGAAGAAGATACTCTCACAAGTCACTACCCAAATCTAATGTACCTGTACATGTTAGCTTTTGTCTCAATTCATATTTAGCAGCGAGCAATCTACGTTTGTGATCTCGTATATTTTGTTTCTCCGACTTGTTACTGAGTTTTCTCCATATCTTTTTGAAAAAAGCCACTGAAAATAAACCACTAATATTAGGTACTCTTTTAGATCCATGTAAGGTGGAGGGAATGAAGGGACTAGAAGGAAGCTGAAAAGTCATAGTGTGCTAGCGCTAGCGAGTTAGCGCAATAATTTAAAGTCTTGTTTTCTTTGTTGTTTCTTTTTTTTAACATTTAAATAGATTGTAGTCAAACACTAATCCTTTTGAACTTTCCAGCGGCTAGAGGCGCAGAGATAAAAGCAGACTCTTTAATCGCTTAATAATATAATCACCCAAAGTACATATATCTACGAATTTTAGAACATTGAATTAACCAACTTTCATATGACAATTTATTTTCTTTTGGGTACCATGTTTTGCAGGCTTTAGTTGCCTTATCCCAGGTGACCAAACAGGTCTTCAAGGGAAATCCATCTTTCTTCCCTATTAAACCCATGGATTATGCACGCTTCCTGGTGATCTCAATCGGCACCGGCTGTGCAAAGGTGGAACATAAATACAGTGCAAAAATGGCAGCCAAATGGAGTGTTTTTCGTTGGTTACTTCATGGAGATTCCCCTCCACTGGTAGATGTTTTCACTCAAGCAAGTGCAGATATGGTTGATTTCCATCTTTCTGTAGTTTTCGGAACTCTTCATTGTGAAGAACATTACCTTAGAATTCAAGTAAGCTAATCTCAACTTTCTTTCTCCTACTATTTTTGTTTTTTCAATCAATCAGAAAATATTAGTCGAGAGCTCCATGAGTTATGGTACTGAAAAAAACAAAACCACCTGGGAAGAAAATGCTCTCACAACGGGATTGAGATCATCTGCATTATACATTTTTTTCACTCAATTTCACTCAATAATAGATTTTGGATTCAAATTGGACCCACTACTTATATGTGGGTCATTCTCACTCCATATTTGGTGGCTGCTGACCTATCATTGAATGAAAGTATAATTTAGAGTATTTGGATCTATCAATAAGAGCATTCTCTAACTATTTTCGACTTAACTGAGCTTTAATTTTTCATATGACATGTTAACTGGGGCAGAATCCTCTGTTGATGTTGCTACAGAAGAGAACTTAAACAGACTTGTGGAGATTGGGGAAAAGTTGTTGAAGAAACCAGTTTCTAGGGTAAATTTGGAGACTGGTTTTACTGAGCCAGTCAACAATGGTGGCAAAAATGAGTATGCTCTAAAAAAGTATGGAGGCAATCAAACAATTTTTTTTGTAAATCCAGTTGGTTCTTGGCTACCAAAAAATTATGGAAAAGACTATGATACAAGGTGTAATTTTTGGAATCATATCAAAAGTTACGATTTAATTCAGTAAAGTTGTAATTCAATCAAATGAGGTTACAACAAAAATGGGGTCGTTTGAGATAAATTAAATTTAGGGATCAATCTTAGCATTTCAAGATCATTCTCAACCACCCCAATTAGGTTGTGACTATCCTTTAATGAATCGTAACTTTCAGAACGATATCCAATTTTGTACTTTAATCGTTCTCTCCTCCCCCCCCCTTCTTTCCTTTTTTTTTTTTTTTTTTTTTCCTTTTGACCTTGTTCATTTTCTCTGGTGGGTTGTAATTCGATTTATATTTTTTCCTTCCCAATTAGGTTGTAACTTATGTTTATTTGTTATGTTTGGAGCCATTATAATGGTTGTCAAGTGTTTTTTCGCACTTCTGGTGAGTGTTTTTACATTAATTGGGTAATGCCTAGTGTATTGAATAGGATATTCCCACTTTCTTTTGTGTGCACAAAAGTTTGCAATCAGTGGAATATATTTACTTTCCGGGAAAAAAAAAAAATCTCAGTCGGATTATTTCAAATGCATTTTACCTTATAATTTATTTTCCTTGTTTTTTTTTCTCTGAATAAAATGATAATAATGAGTAAAAGTTCTGAAGTTATAGTATATTGTGGATGAAGGTGATTAATGGCATGTATTTGGGGACTAATTTGGTATTGTTGGGATGCAACTTTTACGGACGGAACAAAAAGAAATCATTGTTTCTGTGTAATCACGAAAATTCAAATGAAAAGTTACAGAGTAATATTATTGGAATGTAAAAATATGACTTAATTTGTTGAAATGATGAAATGTCAAGTGATAGAGTTTCGGTGAAGATGTACGTCCAAGAGTTATAGTTACAATAATATTATTGGATTATGTCTTTATTATGTCATTAAGTTAATAAATTATAACATTCCAATATCCTAGTTTGTGTTAGTTAAGCCTAATTAACGAAAATGGATCTAGCCTCGTGGTAGGTGATTCAGAAAAAAAGTTGATTTTAACATTTTTTTTATATTGTGTTGGGTAGGGTGGATGGAATGATCGAACGTGGGTGTGATACACTTTCTATTATTTAAACAAGAAATCTTTCATTCCCTCCTTTGTATTTGGTAGGAGGGATGAAAAGTATAAAACAAAATTTTTTTGAAAGGATAAAAAAGTGGAGGGATGGAAAAAGTATAAGTGCATATTTTACAATTATATTTATATATAAAATTAATATATACATAATATGTAATATATAAATATGATTTATATGTATATATTAAAGGATACATAAGTAAATAACTTACGTTTCAACACACACAATTAATTTTTCATCTTTTTTTTCTCTTAATTTTGGAATGATTGATTTTGGTGAGTTAGAAAAAAAGTTAATCTATTCACTTTTTTATCATTTCTAGTTCCTATTTCCCTTTCGCCAGACATAATATTTTATTTATATTTCCAACATTTCATCATTGTATTTTTCATCGTACCTATTGGAACAAAACAGTTTCTCAAAACAGTTTCTTAAGTGTAAAAATTGAATTTTTGGTCGACTTTGAACCTAAATTAAAGTGGGACCCATTCATTATTTCGAGTAAAATTTCATGGATTCGTATTCTAATCCGTGATGAGAATAACGTATTATATTCACTTGATCAAATTGAGTAAGAAATGAATGAGAAAATAGAATTCAAAAGTGACCCTCTTGAAATGTGAAAATAGAGGTTGTGTAATATGAGATTTGACACTAATCCCACATTGGTTGAGGAAGAAGTTCTTGATGGGTATATATAGGTCAAATTTGCTTTATAGGATTGGGCCCTAAGAGGTACCACAATTTTATAAGCAGAGCGATCACCTACATACCTTTGGTTTTACCACACACGCACATCGCCCTTCTGCCTCGCCTTGCCATGAACTGACCCGGCCAAGCTGGGCTCGAGTTTGGGTGTGAGTGTGGTTTAGACCAAGTTTTATTTTTTTTAAAAAAAAATTGTTTAATTAATTGGGCGAGAATTTTTTAACCGAAATTAAATTTCGGTACCTGTTACATTCGAATTTGTACTGGTTCAGAGGGTAATTTCCTTTTAAGTTCGAAATTTTGAGTTATGTTTGTTCATAGACAACAGTTACACAAATGGTGTCTTCTGGCTATTGCATTTGTCTTCTAGTTGTGTCTTTTAGTATGGTGGCTGTCCGGAACAGTCATCATACTGTCTATAAATACCCAAGCTCTCATTACCATTCTGCATTCATTCATTCATCAGTTCATTTTCATAGTAAAGATAGACATTAATGCATTGCATTTCGGCATTAAGGCAGTCTGGATTTGGATAGTACACAATACAATTTCTGGTTCGTTCGACGAGTAGATTGGAGTGCTACTTCTACTCGTGTGAAAATCATTATATCCTGAGAGACAGACACTTTGTATTCCATAAGCAGCATGTGTGGAGGTGAAATCTATTTTAAGGACATAATGTCAAACACTAGCCTTGATCTACCTAAAATTCAATAACAGTTCATATTCTTTAAACATGTTAGTATTTATATTGTTTAAACAAACAGTTACATGTAAGTGTTTCGGTATTACTATTGTAACTATTTTGTTAATTTTTTTGTAACTGTTTCAATTTTATGTGCAATTGTTTCGCACTTGATTGTTACTATTTTGTTATACATTACATGTTTCAAATTAGATATTTCAATGAGTGATTTGACTATATTTGGAATACCGCAAGCAATAGTATCAAACAAAGTATTAGGGTATGTTTTGCACATCACAACTAGGTGACATTAAATTAAATTAGTCCAGTGATCCACTTAATATTAGATTTTAGATCATGTTATAAAGTCCGGTCTTAATCTCTTTAAAGTGAATCCCAAATATGCCAAAGCTATGCACTGATGCAATTTGTTTTCCGTTTTTCAACTTGATGACATTCATTAATCTTCCATCAAGACGTCAAATTAATATTAAGACTATATACTCACACCTAATCCAAATCTAAATCCAAACATGTTGATTTCTAATTTATTTTTCATGGAAAAAACATTGAAAACGTTAATCTACTAATATTACAATTAGGAAGTTGAATTCTCAACTTATAAAAGCACAACAACGGTAAAGATTTATTCAATCTTCATCTATATTGATCCAATGGTGTAAAATTCATCCCAAAAATTATTTTGACGTTCAAAAACATCAACTTCTTTGCACGCCCTCAATGCGAGACAATTCAATTAACACACTCCCCGTTGTCAAACAATTTTATCAATCTACATCTACTTCTCTCTTCATTTTAATTTTAAATTGTATAATTAAAAAATTAAATTATTATTTAAAATACAAATATTACAAGACCAGTTTGATTTTTGAAATTGTATAGTATCTTCATACATGAGATTATTGTTAATACAATAGATACAAGCCATACAAACAATGGATATATAAGACAATAGAGTCACATTAAACAATTTGTGTTACATATAAGTCCCTCACATGCATCGATAGGTGCCAGAATATGTAGTTATTTTTGTGCATAATATATGATTGTTTCTCTACGTGGACTTCTTGTTTGGTTCCATGAAGCTAAGTAAATTTTGTTGTATTGTTTGTGGTATTCCAAATATTGAAAATCGCTTATTGAAATTTCTGATATTGTGTAATTTAGAATAAAACAGTAACAATCAAGTGCAAAACAGTTATACAGAATACAAAAATAGTTACAGAAGAATTAACGAAACAGTTATAATAATCTTAACGAAACAGTTGCACATAACTATTTGTCAAATCAATATAAATACTGACCCAATTGCATAACAGGAACTGTTATTGAACTTTATGTAGATCAAAACTAGTGTTTAACACTATGTCCTTTAGACATATTTTGTCCCCACACACAGTGCTTATGAAATATAAAACGTCTACTTCCTAGAATACAATGATCTTCACACGAGTATAAATAGCATTTCAATCTACCCGTCCAGCGAACCAGAAATTATGTTGTGTGCTCTCCAAATGTTGATTGTCTTAATGATTTATGAGACTGCCTTAAATGATTACGAATGTATTGGATGTAAAATGATTATGTGATTGGATTATTGATAGAGAGAATGACGACTAATTCGGACAGTCACCATATGAACAGACACAACTCAAATTTTGGACCGGAGAGAAGCAAAAAATCCGAACCAGTGCGAATTCAAATCCAACGGATAGCGAAAATTAAATTCTGGATTAAGAAATTCACGCCCATTTAATTAAAATAATTTTCTCAAAAAAGATAGGGCTTGGTATAACCCCCACATCCCATAGAGCAAATTTGGCCTACATATGCCCATCTAGAACTTCTTCTTCAACCAATGTGGGATTGATGTAAAATTTTACATTGCACAACCTTTATTTCCACATTTCAAGAAGGTCATTTTAGAGCCTATTTTCTCATTCATTTTTTACTCGGTTATTCTTCTCACGGAGTAGAATACAAACCCATGAAAGTTTACTCCAAATAACAAACGCGTACCACTTTAATTTAGGCTTAAAGTCGACAAAAAATTCAGTTTTTACACTTAAGAAATTGTGTTGGTCCAACACATTGTAACTTGACATATATATGATTTATTATGTAAACAGCACATCACTTCATTGTTTAGTCAGCACATCACTTAATTGTTTAGTCAAGAATCAAACAAATACAAGTTATAAAAACACTTATTGCAGTTTTTATATTGTTCACAATTTTTTTTCTCCCGGTAAGTGAGGAATTCATTATACGGAAAGAAGTATGTGTATACTAAACTTGAACAAAAAAAAAATTCTAACTTGGTCTCTTATCGTCGTTTCGCTTGGGTCATAGCTATACCTTTCGAGCAATAGCAGGGGGTTCAAGGATAAAAGATAGACACTTTGGAAGAGAAGGGGAACACAAGAATGGTTGTTCATTGTTCGATCGCTCAATCCGATACTCTTCTTTTTTGGTAAGTTCGAGTATTTCCTCTTCCCAAAAATCTCACGAAATAAACAACAAAAGTGTAATTTT